GGAAGGAGAGTGGAAGGAGAAGAGAAGATGGCTGGAACATAGCAGATGCTTTTGCTCAGTTTTAGAGAGCAAATAGCTTTGCTTTCTGTAACTCTTATGCCTCACTCTCTGAGTCTGACCCAATTGTCTGGCCACAGCAATTCTTCTCTGTTCTTTTAAAAATAGTAACCCTTTTTTGCTTTTTCCCTTTTACGGAAGTTAATTAAAATCAATCTGAAATACAGAATGTCAAGAAAAATATCTATAATCCTACCACTTCGAAATAATCACCCAGGGATATAATAATCAAAACAAAAGCATGAACACCTAATTGCAGTATTTGGAGTACATAGCCCATTTGGTATTCTCAAAACTGGATTTTAGAACCAAAAAGTATGACACAGAAATTGCAATCCATAAATCAGAATTCAGATAGATTTCTGCCCCAGGCATGAAGCACACTTCTGGAAGCTTAGCTAGACCATGAGTGCCATTTATTCTTAAGATTCTGCCTCAGACACCCATCATTTGATTCACTGACTCAAATCATGCCTGGTAGATCATCTAGGCTACTTTAGAGGTAAGCCTCATAGTTTACAAAGGCATGCTTGTAAATTATCTACTTTGACAATATTTTTCTGTTTCCTGATAGAATACAGGGTGTGGAAGAATGGGGTTTACAAAAATAAAAGAGGAAAAGAAAAAGCACTCTGCAAAATGCGTATCAAATCTCAATTTCTAAATAAAGGACCAGAATTAAACAAGATAAACAGATCTTTCATACCACGTTGAATAAGCTTAAGAACATGTTGGAACAAAAGCTTTGATGTAACTAGTTGAAGAAATAATTACAGAATTTTAGAAAGCACTTCAAAGAATCTACTAGTTTACTTCCTTTGCCAGAGGCAAATTCAAACCACCTGCGGCTGGTTTGTTTTCTTCAGTCATGAAGATTGAAGGTTCTAGGTTCTGTATTTGTGGTTTTCCAAAAATAAAATTCTTAAATTCAGCCTCAAACAAAAGCTTAAAAAATTGGTGTATCAAAAACATTTCCCATTTTCTTGGTAAAACTCCTTTCTTTTTGAAAACAAAATCAATTTAATTTCAGCCTATACCCAGAAGCTTTCATAATGCTGAATCATATGCAGCCTGTGTTCAGAGATGACAGCATAAACTTTCTCATGGGTCTGTGTCTAACTCTGCCTTCCGCAAGGTAACAAGCAAACCCACACAACTTAGCACTGGGATTCATCCTGTTTATGTTATAATTGTAATGGCTGCACGAGATGGCATATTACATTTAACATATGATGGTGATAATACAGAATGCTCTGGTATGCGTAGAGTTATTTTGCTGAATTTAATTATGGCATTCAGTGAGTAGCTGCATTGGGTAAGAATATAGAGATGGTAAGGGCATACATACACAGAACTATGGCCCAGAAGAGTCCAAAAATGTGTTCGTGTGTGTGTGTGTGTGTGTGTGTGTGTGTGTGTGTGTGTGTGTGTGTGTGTGTGTGTGTGTGTGTGTGTGTGTGTGTGTGTGTGTAAGCACACATGCATTCAGTTGACTCTGGAAAAAGTCATAAAATAAAGACTTTGAGAAAGATAATCTTTTCAACAGAAAATTTTGGAACCAAAGGACACCAATACTCAAAATATTAACTTTAACCTAAACAGCATATCTTACACAAAAGTTAACTCAAAATAGATCATATACATAAATGAAAAAATGGGAAACTAAAACTATTAGAACAAAGCACAGAAGAAAATATTCATGACCTAACATTAGACAGAGTAACTAAACACAACTTCAAAAACAGAGTTCTATAAAGAAAAAAATGATCACTGAGATGTCAATAAAATTTTTGCAAAAACACTGTCAAGAGAATGAAAAGATGAGAGACATACTGAGATAGTACATTTGAAAGGACTTAAATTCAGAATATATGACATATTAAATGCAACAGGAAGACTACAAAGAGCCCAATTTAAAAATGAGCCAGATTTGAACATCTGCTTCACCAAAGACTATTTAATGAGTGCCAAATAACCACCTGAAAAAAAATGTTCAAAACATCTAGCCATTGGGAAAGGCAAATAAAACCCATCCTGTGATACAACTGCACTCCTTTTACAAGTAGTATTAAAAATGCTGACAGTGCCAAGTACTAGCAGGAATCCAGAGCAACCAGAATTATCATACATTGCTGATGGAAATGCAAAGTGGTAAAACTACTTTGGAAAATAGTTTTCCGTTTCTTTTAAAGCAAAATATATACTTACTTGTAGACCACCAACCCCTGAAGTAAGCACATACTGTTTCTTAAAAGATTTTTAAATGAATTAAACATAAATGGAATACATGATTTCATTTGGACAAGAAAAAAGCTGGAAGGAAATGGAATCTGATGAAAGGTGCCTACAAAAGGGCAAAATAGCTCCTTAAACGTTTTACAGTTCATACTTTTTGACATTTGCTAAATAGCAGCTAATATTTAGAGTATTTAATATAATTTGGCATAATTTATTAAATGTAGTATGTGTCTGTGTCATTCAATCAAGAAGAGTTTATTATAAAACCATTGGATTATAAAGAATTTAATTTATTAACCTACATTGTAGAAGATTTGGAATAAATATTCTTTTCTAGTTTTGTCCTATTTATTGAATAAGGCTACTAAATAACTTTGATTAAAATTCATCAATTTATAGGGAATAATAGTAAAACAAAAAATTCAAAATTCTTCAGCATACGCTGCAGTTCCTAACAATCCATGCACTGCACTATCCGTCCCCACATGCTTCCTTCCTGCCAAAAGTCATCAAAACACTAGCAAGAAAGGCTTACTTCAAGCCTGGCACAGTGGTGCACACCTATACTCCCAGCATTCCAGGAGGCCGAGGAAAAAGGATCACAAGTTTGAACCCAGCCTGGGCAACTTATGGAGACCCTGACTCCAAATAAAAATTGTTCAGGGGACGTAGTTCAGTGCAAGGGCCTTGGGCTCAATCCCTGGGAAGAAAGAAAAAGAAAGAAAGAGGGAGGGGGAGAGAGAGAGAGAGGGAGGGAGGGAGGGAGGAAGGAAGGAAGCAGGGAAAGAGGGAGGGAAAAGAAACTTTGAGCTTTAAAGAGGTTACATTCGCTTCCAGAACATTAGAAAGAGAAGCCTCTCTGAAAGCAAAGACGATCTATTAGAAAAAAAGTTGCTCTGAGCAGAGAATGGCGGATCTGAGAACTGCCCCCAATCCCCTGCACAGCAGCCATCTCAGTTCATAACGCTTGACTTTCACAGTGACTGTCACAATGTTAGCATGAGATTTTTAATGATTTCTAAAAACATCCAACAGCAGTGTGAGAATGGATCACAGCTAAGTTTTCACTGCCATAATATAACAAGACAACACATACTGTTGTATTTGGTCTTTTCTCCATATTCCTTGCTCTATTTGATAAGGTTTTGTTTTTCTGATTTTTAAAATAATGTCTAGATTTGATAATTTTTATTCATAGATATGGAATATTTTACGATTAATATTCAACTTTTAAAGTAGCCACAACTTAGTATCTGTCACACTATAGAAACAAATATGAAAATTTACCTGACTGTAGTACACACATCTCTCAAATACGAAATGAACATTCCCTTCTGAGATACCAAATGAAATTGTAAAAGCAAACAGCATAAAATGGTGTCTGATACTGAGCAAGAGCACAGAAAATATTTTTCAATACATATAATTTTAACAAATGAACAAACAGACGAGTATCCATAAGACTAGGGTTGAAAAAAATTGCACAACTAAATTTTAGGAATTGTTTCGACCTACCACTACACATTACATATTATATAACCACATGCATTTTTTTATTCATTCATTCTACCAACTGTTGTTTGGTTTCGAAAAACTTTTTGAATAAGGAAAGAACAGCAAAAATTTATAAGAAGATAATACCAATGATCGCTAATAGTCCAAATTAGGTGTGGGATATATACAGAAAGGAAGTGAATGTAATTAACTGCAAATTAAACCTTTAGAATTATAACAGATTCATCAGCAGTGAACTCAAGTGAGGGTGTAATTAATTCTGATGGCAAGAATTCAAGAAATGATTCTTGGAAAAGATTATCGTGCACGTGGGCCTTGACAAATGCATAGGATCCTGGTGGATGAAGAACAACATTAAAAGCATGAATTTTGAAACTAGACAGCCTGAGTTTGAATCCTGGTTTAAGGCTTACAGCTCTGTGACCTTGAGAAAATTATTTAACCTTTCTGTACATCGGCTTCTTCAGATATATAATAGAGATATGGTATTACATATGGGGTGGTGGTGTTAACACATGTAAAGCACCTGTAATAACACCTGAAACATAGTAAGTGCTCAGTAAGTATATACTAAATGAAGAAAAGAAAGGGCAGGGCAGAAGGAACAATACCAAGAAAACCCTTAAGTGTTCACTTGATTTCACCACAAAGAACAAGTAGTTCCCTGGAATATTAAGCACAAACTACTATATATGCATAAAAATATAATTTGCTTAATCAGTGACAGTTTAGGATCATTGATCTGTTATGACATCTATGGATTCTCAACCCATAAATATGCCCATACATACCCTCAAAACTCCACAAATAACTTTTGGGTCTGTCCATAAAGTCAGGATTATAGGCACTTGCTCCAACCCATCCTTGAATCACAGGTAATGGCCTAGTCTAGTGGTATTGTCACCTTACCAATAAAAGCTATGCTTCACGTGGAATGTTATACAACCCATGCAATCATGGATTCTAAAATATCTAATTAAAAAAATTAAACCCTAACTTCTAGAAGATGGAGACATGTGGGACGTGAAGAACTCCATGGCTCCATTTCAAATTAAAGAAGGGAGCAAGACAGCAATTGTGCTTAGGAGGCCTTCTTATCTGAGCAGCAGACCTGTGGAGAAAAAGGGCGTCTAACCCTGAGAAGAAGAGGTTGGGAACAAAATGTAAAAATGGAACGGCGCTGTACTCACATGGTGAAGGAGCCGGGGGGGGCAGACACGCGCCTCAGGTCCGCAGCTTGCACCTGATGGATGCTAGAGGCAGCAGGGAAATGAGCAGCGAAGACAGAGTCAGCAGGACAGCGTGGACAGACAAGGAACAGGCCGGGGAGAGAAAGAGAGACACACAAAGTTTAAACAGAAATTAAATGAGTGCGTCACCAACAGTGAATGAAAGAAAAAGGAAAACCAAGCCAGCCATGGAAATAATCCAGAAAAGCCGGTGATACGGTAGTAATGAAGCCGACAGGACACATGGAAGGAGCTAGTTTCAGGCAAGCCACAGACCACAGCACAGGGCCAGTGCAGGAGGGCAGGCTGCGGGCATGGAGCGGTGATCATGGCGCCCCTGCTCTGGGTCATCTGAGACACCATGGGGAGGAGGTGCACACCAACATCAGACAGTGCCAGTTGGCGTGGTAAACTCCCCCTTGAGGACATCGGTTAGTGCGATCGGTTCACTCTGCCCTCATGATTCCGGGCTGTGTAAGAATGCTAGCACCCAAAGACAGACTTTCCTTCAACTTCCTTCTTTTAAACAGCACAGGTTTTTAAGAACTTCAGACATGTTATCAAGAAAGCCTAACTTCATCACCGTGGTGCTGCAATTCCACACACATCTGGATAAAAACCTGAAACCATAGACTCCTCCCTTTTCTTTCTTTTGTAAAGGAGAGAGTCTACAGTGGATATTAAAAAGACAAAGAATAAAACTTAAGAAACTAACCCCAAGTGTCCCTTCTATATTGCCATTCTCTCTGCTTTCCTATTTAAATATTTTTTAATTTAAGTACAAGAGGCACAGCTCCAGGATCTTTCTGGTCTGCCGGGCATATCACTGCTCCTACAAGGTCCCCCATGAGTTAACTCTACCTCTGTCAATACTATCTTCAAAGTAATATTAGTTTCAACCAATAATACTTCAGCAGACCAGGATAATGGAATCCAGTTGCCCAGTTCAATGTCTGCTAACTAGAAACCTGAATTTCAATAAAACAATCATCTCTCACAATGTAGCCTTAAACTAGTGAATTTAACAGTAGTAGCTGAAGACCTCCTGTACACCAATAATTTTCAGCTCCTGATCCTCTTCAATGGTATGTTACAAATAGAGAATATAAGCAAATGTATCTGGCACCATGTTATAGGAACATGAATATGAATGTAGGCAACGCCTCTGTTTTTTGGTTTTTTTTTGCGGGGGAAGATATGTACTACAGTTCATGCTCTGTGTAGATTCAAGTCATGATGAAATGGTACATATTTCTGTCCCAGTGGGGACAGGGGTAATGAACTGAGTGAGGCCCGGTCTTTTAGTTGGCATGTAGTATTAAGAAATGGTATTATTATAAGTCAAGAAGTCTTTTTTTCAGGAAATTTTTTTGTACAAATGAAGATCTAGTGGCAGCATGAAGCCTACTATTTAACTATTTCTCATGGGAATTCCTTCCCATTTCTGCACAAATTATAACATAAAGTTGCTCACTACTTACCTATGGCTTGTAATAAAATGCAATCAAAACATTCTATATTACATTTATATTTATTTTTATTATTTGTATTTATATTTGCAATACTTTAGGTTTCTATTATTTTAATAATTTCTGAGAAACACAGCAGACATAGCCTCATAAATGTAATCCCTGTGTGACTGGCTTGACATGTAACCATGTCACAGAAACTATGACAGGCACTGGGAACCCCCAGATGAAAACTCTTGGTCCTCCTCACAGAACAGAGAAGAGAGACAAGTCAACCAAAGACTGCAGTGTTTTAGCAATGTTGCGTTGGAAGCACACATAGGTTGGAAGCGCCTATGAGGAGCACCAAGAAACTTATCCTCCAAGAACTAGACAGAAGAGGGCATTAAGGGAAGGTGATGTTTCAGTGGAGTCTGGAACTAAAAGAGGGAGAGAGAGAGAGAAAGAGAGAGAGAGAGAGACAGAGACAGAGACAGAGACAGAGAAGGAGGGAGGGAGGAGGGAGGGCAAGCGAGCACAGCTGTAAAGTCGCCAAGGAGGTCTCTTCAAGAGGAGCATTCTTCTGTAGGGGACAGGCTAACTGCTCTAGGAACAAAAATCACTCTGGGACATGGGGAGAGGAGGACAAAGGAAACAGAGATCAAAAAGTCTGTGAAGCTAAGGAATATAACATTTCCACTTTTAGAAAGACTATTCTCCTTGGTTTACTGGAAAATATAGATTGTGCAAAGGACAGGAATGAGGGATGGGCAGAGAAATGAATTATGAGACTATTTTAACCATGCCTATTTAACCATGAGGGAACTCATGAGGCCTTTGAACGAAGGGTGTTTTACTAGCCAAGAGGACAGATGATACAAGAGTTAAAGATCTGGGAGGTAAATGGAAGATAGATTTTTCTTTCAAAAGTAAAAGCTAGTCTGCTGGATATGCAAAGGTAGGGGTGACAGTGCCTCCAGGGCCTGGGGCCATGGTAAATGAGTGGTGGTAGGCCTATTCACCAAACTGAGTGACCCAGGCTTATGTGGATGAAGAGGAAACACAGCAGCAGCAACAGAGCTAATGACTCCAGTGCTTGACATAGTTGAGGTTGCTAGGAGACAGTAAAGAATGATGCCAACTCTAATATTCAAGTATTAGTCTTCAATATTAGAAAAAATCCTGGGCTAAAGTCGCAGATCAGAGATGCACCTTCCAGAGACAGGACAAATATACGAGGAACCCCACTGTCCATGTGGAAGAGTCATTTAGAGAGCCACAGCACAGAAATGTCAGGGTTCCCAGGTAACACACTGTACCAAAGAAGACCGTTCCCTGAACATGAGTTCAGTAGCCTTTACTGGGACTATGCACACACACAAAGTTCTTTTAGATAAAATTATAAAAATATTTTAAACCAGTTCCCTTTTCCTCTGTTAAGAACGAATGAAAACAGGCAAATGAAAAAAAAAAATGGTCTTAGCAAAACAGGAAAAAAGGAGGAAGAGTAAAAAGGGGTAGTGGGAAGAAAGTAAGAGATAAAAATAGGTAAGCAAGAAGAAAAGAGGGCATAAAATAAAGTAATGAAATGTCTTTCTTCCTCAGAGGGAACAGTAAGTCTTACAGAATCATGGCCAAGGGGGAGAAAAGCTCAGAGTACCCAAGAGGTAGAAGAGCAGGCCTGACAAGCAAGGCCGATCTTAAACTTGAAACTCTCCTTGAAAATCCAGCGGAAGAAGATAGTTTCCAAGGCCAGGATTTCTAATGAAAAGAAAACAATATAATTGCAGAGGATGGAGAAGATTAAGGTGAGAGAAATCAAAGTTTAGTGAGCAAGTATTATATGGTAACTAGGTTTTCGCTTTCTTTTGAAAATGAGCTATTTGTATTGATTTCCTTAAGATATAGTGTTGAATAATACTTTTTATATATAGTTATAAAATAAATTTTAAATTTCATATATATATATATATATATATATAGATATAGATATATTTCTTAATGAAATGCTATTATCTTCATTTCATATTGGTCTTTCTCATGGTCTGTGGTTGCTCTGATGGAGACACCACTGCCCCCTGGTAGGAAACACCTGATTTTTTGGAGTTGAGGCTGCTACTTGAACATCTGCACAGTTAAGTATAATATCCTCATATGTTATGTGGGCCAGAAGAACAACAACAAAAAAATCTATGTGCATTTGCGGGGGGCTACTGGGGATGGGATCCAGGGCCATCATATCCACGGTATCCTCAGCTCTCTCTTAACTTTTGTCAGGGACTTCTTATGTCATCCAGGCTGCTCTTACACTTGCGATCCTCCTGCCTCAGGTGCCCATATTGCTGGGATCACAGGTACACACCTCACACTTGGCTAATGTCTATTTATCTTTATAGGTGACAAAAACCCAAATGAATTCTAAACAATATGGTTATTGAGCAAATACGAATTCTGTCTTAACACAAGAGTTAGAGTTCTTCAAAAAACAATTCCATGTCTGAGACAGTTGTTACCTATAAAGGCAGTACCTATGAGACCATAAGTTGTTTGTTTATAGATTTTACATCTTCTAGCCTTGTCATAGCTTCTTAGCAGACTACCTACAAATGAACGAAGCATTTGTGGCTCAACTGTGACATTCCTAGGGGAAAACTGCTGAGCCATGGCCAACTGCTGCCATGATACTTTCTAAAATATATAAACTGAACAATTACATATTCTGCCTAAAAATGTCAAGGCAAAAATGATAGAAAGCATCAGAAACAACCCAGGAGTTTCACTGGCTACAAAACATAAAGCAAGAAATATAATTAAACAGCAGCTCTGGAAAACATGGGCAACATTCCAGGAAGAGAAGGGAAAGGATGATCTCTCGCCCCAGCCTAAGCTTCAGAAGCAGATGCCAAAAACTGAAACACGTGGTGAGCACTGTCTGGTGCTGTTCCTTAACATCTGCCATTGCCAAAGGAGGTGACGGAGCAAGGGCACCTATGTCACTGGTTATTCTAGGAATTTCTGGAGATTGAGTCCATTAACATGTGGCAAAGCATGCCCCTGCTTTACAGGCACCAAAAAGAAGCCAGCCATTCAGTATCAATAGGTAACCATGCATCCTGGGCCACATCTTTTAGGGTCCCTCACCGTGACAGAGAATGACCCAAGGCCAAGCTCTGAAATGGCCTTATGCATATGGGCAAGATATATAGAAGTCACTCCAAAAGGACAACCTAAAGCCTCTCCTTTGCCCATCCCTGTTTCCAACCCAAACAACTCAATCACCCATTATAGTACCAGATTCACTGTAAAATGAATGGGAATTATAATTTACCTAGTCCTTACTGCCTTACCTAAAATCAGTTTAACAAAACACCATATCAGGGAGAATTCTAGAGGGAAACCAGGTACTTAGAAACACCTGATCAGATTAGAAATGGACAAAAGGACATTGCCCAGAAAGGCAAAACTGAGCACAAAGGACCTCAAAATACAAACAACAGGAAGGGCTATTTGCTAATGGACCAGCTGGGCCAGGCTCCTACTACCTGAGCAACCAATGCTTTCCAAGGGACCTGAATAGAGAGCAGGCTAACTACATGCCTCCCCAAACTGAAACAAAACAGGACACATTCTGTGCATACATCATCTGATCCTATAATCACTCCTATAATGATATTTTGCAAATCAGAGTATACAAAGACCAAATGGTCAGTGAAGAATCATTCATCTCAAGTAATAGTAATAATTTCTGAAAGAAGGGTCAAGTGACTGTATAGTAAACATGAGGAAAAGATCCACGTTAGCATGACAGAGACCAAGAAACTACGGAGTTCCCTGGACTCTTCCTCCCTTCCCCACACAGTGAAGTCCCCAGACCATGCGCATGCTCTGCAATCTGCTCTGCGAGGTCTTGTGTCACCCCAGGTAGGCAAGGAGCAGACTCACTCATTGAGTAAAGGCATGGATGTTCTCCTCTTGCTCTTCTGTACCATGTTGGCCTGATTCCTCAAGGAGATCCGAATCATAGCTGGGGCCAACCTACATGGCTCCCCATCCACTTGCATGGGGATGGACTTGTAAGTCAAAAGCATGACTTCCCGACACTGGTGTAGCCTTTCTCCATGGCCCCCAACCTGCAGGGCAGCCTGTTAAAACAAGACGAAGGGGAGCCATGAGCTAGTCATTGCTACTTAAGAATGCTAGAAGCCAAGTCCGCTGTACATAGTCAAAGGGCCTTTGATATGTATAGCCAAATTCATTAGCCATTAGTATAAAGAGAAATCTGGGTAAATTTTACTACAAATAAACTAAACATTCAACAATTTTGATAAGCTTTATCATGAATCTCCACAGACAGACATCTATGCATTTTAAATCTAAATTTAATTGTGCTAATTTAACACGAAAATTTCCCTTTGGGTTATCTATTCCCACTAAATAAATGCAGTACCACAAGAGGCTACAAAAAATATAATGAACATGGTTCACCAATTTCTAAACTCCACTTATCTAATTTTTAGTAAGCAGCTCATCCTTGATGAATTTTCAAGCTTAAGCATACTTATACTTTTCACCTAAAATGTCAAGCTATTTCTGACCTGTACAAACTAAATTAAATAAAAACTAATATTAACTACTCAGTTAAAATCACTCTAGAAGGTGAAATAGATTAAAGAATTAAAATCAAACATTGTAAAGGTTCAGTTCTCTGTGGGAGTCACAGAACGGAGATTCAAGTAAATATTAAGTCTGTTTCTAAGAACAACAAATTTATATATTCTCCAACTTTGCAAAATAATTCACTAAATATCATTTATCTTTTCATGGATAAATGAAAGCCATACACTACACACACACACACACACACACACACACAGAGGACACACATTTTATCACTCACCTGAATGAACATATTTATACATGTGTGTGAACCTTTGCACTGATCAAGCTTTAAAAAGTATATAACAACCAAGAGGTTTGCACTGTCCCCTTGCAATGTATTATAGTCCTGGTACCAACTAAAGGTTAACCACTATTGATTTCTATCACCACAGATTAATTTTACCTTAACCTGAACTTCATTTAAGGAAATTATATGTGCAGAAGTATTCTTGCATCTGACAGCTTTTGCTCATCTTGATGTTTTACTGATACATAGCAAATTATATTTATGCATTCTTCATCAGTAGGTTGATATCATTGCTTCTGGTTTGGAACTATTTATCATATAAACTTTCTGGTACACATACTTTGGTGAATACATATTTTATTAGGTACAGACAAATGAGTAGCACTTCTATAATATTAGTTTATGCGTATATTTTCCTATAGAAGACACTGGAATGTCATTTTTCAATCAATTCATAATGAAGTACAATTTTAAGAATAGCTAAATACTAACTAGCGCAAAACTTACACTATTTACTCTTATAAGGGAAAACATTATCAGCTTGTTGCCATGTTTTTCTTTAGGAATGGAGGAAAAACAACCTTGTTAATTCAGATTTGTGAATTCAATTTCCATTTAATTGGCAGACAGATCTTTGGCTTTATCGGATGTTTTGAACTATTTTTGCATTCATTTGCAAAATGGGAAATTAATTATAAATATAAATAGAAAAGGGAAACAGGGACAAAAAGAAGACAAGGAAAATATAATAATTGAAACATGAAGAGTATATTGATCCTCTTTTTGATGTTATACTTTGTTGTGCACTTTGCACATTTTTATTTTTCAGTTAGTAGGAAACCCAGAAAGGAAAGCAAACGCAATGAACAATTTCTAAAATTCTTTTTGATTCTGTATCTTATTCTCTACTATTCAGATAACAGCACTAAATAATTCTTTTTGGTTACTCTATGGATTTGAACCACTATCACCTCTAAAACTTTTCCAATAGAACTCCCTTGCCTTCAATTACTTTCAAATTCAGTATTTACAAGGAGAAAAACTGTATGCGTCATCCATTAGAGGGAACACCATTCTATTCACTTCTCCCTGTCTTGACTAGGTCTAAAGACAGATAAAATGTAAAACCTGCCAGTTAAGAACTTACTACTTTGGGGTTTAACAGGACTGGGCATTGCTTAAATGTTTTACAACTCCTTAGTATCAGGAGATATGCACAATACTCAAGAATATGTATGTATAAGCCATCTTCTCACCCTCAAAAGCAAAACAATAGCATATACTGGTTGAATATCTCTTATCTAAAATGCTTGAGCCTAGAAATGTTTGAGACATAAAAAAATCACACTAGAATATTTCCACATGTGTAATTAGATATCTTGGAAATGGGACTTAAGCCTATAATGAAATTCATTTGTACACCTTGTAAACATAGCCTGCAGGTCATTTTAGATGACATTTTTAATGCACCTGTGTTTTGACTGTGACATATAAATGAGGTCAAGTGTAGAATTTTGATGCTCAAAATGTTTTGGATTTGGAAGCATTTCAAACTTCAGACTTTCAAATTAGGGGTATTCACATGTTCTACAGATGGGGCTACACTATATAGCTATCAGTGGTAGACTCATGGTGTAGTATGCTCAATCCAAGATCACTTCACAAGCACAAGAGGAACTATTGCAATTAGCCATTCAGAGTAAAGACCTTTAGGGCAGTCTGAACGGCTACACATAATCACTTTGGGGACAAATTTAGAGTATAATTTTTTTTTTTTTTTTTTTTTTTGGTACCAGGGATTGAACTCGGGTCCTTGCGCTTGTAAGGCAGGCCACCGAACCACTGAGCTAAATCCCCGGCCCTAGAGTATAATTTTTAAAATACTTATTAGCAATATTTATTTTTCATCTCTTAATCAATCTAGGCTTAATATCCTTTAAGGTACAGGCCCTAAGAGCCACATCACCCTCATAATTTTCTAGAAAGAAACTGTTTACCAGTAATAATACCTTGATTTATTAAGAACAGATATTCAATTATCTATTGAACCTTACAGGTGTTACTCTTGTGGAAACTTCAGATACTGCCTATCAAATAATATGACCTCAGAGAAAGGTTGTGATGACAGTCTCTGAACTAAGTGCATCTATTGTCACTGTGAGCACTGGCACCATAACATTCTTATGCCTTGAGAATCTGTTGTTCCATTACATACTCCTCCTTGGAATGTTCTTCTCCGTCTCCCCTCAAACTTTATCCTTCTTGCTCCACTTGCTATCAGATGGTAAGGATGTGCAACCTTGGTTGAGAAATAAGAGCAAATCTTCCCCTCTCCTTAACCCCCTACTGCCATCCCCTCCCTCAGTCTGGTTCCTGGACCAGAATGCCCAAGGCAAAAGCGATGCACAGTAGAGAGAGGAGCTCAACAACACTAACATCTGCCTGCTTTTTGAAGACTAACAGAATAAAATTCATATAAGACTAAACAACACCAAAAAATTTATTTAAAATTTTATTATAAGTAAGGCTGTAATTTTATTTCATTAGATAAAAAATATAATGTAAATTATATTAGCTAATTTCATTATATCTGACACACTTGTGATTATTTTTATTATATCTAAAGATGTCATACAGAGTTATGAAAATCATAAAAGAATTTTGTGAAGATAATAAATTGGAAGACCTAGATAAAAAGAGAAATGCCTGAAAAAAATAAGCTTCCAACATCTGTTATAATATAAAAAAAAGTAAAATTTAAAAACTGAAAGATTTCTCAAAATTTAGCCCTCAGTTCACAATCCCCATAGCCATGGATATACCAAAGAAAGATATTGTCTAATTAATGTAAGCATATCTTTTTTTTAAAGAAAATATGATGCTGCTGAGCTTCATTACTAAGCTAATAAAACCAGATGTAAGCAGAAAATTTTAGCCTAAATTACATTTACAATCCTATATGCAAACACCTTTTAAAAAAAGCTAATTTCTTCCAGTGATCTATTTCATAGAAACTAAATTATTACCTATTATGGCTAAGGATTAGATATAGTTCAACACCAGAAAATAATACATCATTTTAATTGTACCATACTAAGGGATTAAATGAGAAAAACCACATTATCATTTCAAGAGATGCAAAAAAATTAAGCTTAATGATTAAGCTTGATGATATAACATTCTTAGAAAGCTAGGAATATAAAGTATTTTCTTAAACTAAAAAGAATCATCTGCCAACATATCTGATGAAAACATTATTCATTATAAAGGAAATTTGGAAACATAACTTTCAAGAAACAAAGTTATCCATTAGCAACACAAATTATAGACACAATATCATAGTTCTGAATAAAAAACTAAATAAAGAAAATAAATTAGATTTTAAAAGGCTAAGAAGAGGGCCAGGGATTTAGCTCAGTGTTGCCACTGGCTAACTCATAAGAGCAAGGTCCCAAATTCAATCCCTGGTACCGGAAAAAAAAAAAAAAAAAAAAAAAAAAAAAGAGGGTAAGAAGAAAAACATTGCAAACTTGCTAATATTTCCACTACTTGCAAATTATGGAAATTCCAGGAAATCTCACTAGCAAAATATTAAAACTCATAAGAAAGATGCAGGTAGCCTATTCAGTTAATAGACTTACACCATTCCAGGGATATCTAAATAGAAATAGAATAAAATTCATGAGAGTTAAGCTCAACTGTCAATTTGATTGGCTTGGGAGTCACCTCAGTGATTAGTAAAGCATACTTTTGGACAGGGCTGTGTGGGTCGTGAAGGCTGGATGTTGAGCTCTGCATCTGGTCCCTGCCCCTTCCTTCTCTGATGCTGTTCCCCTGCTCCAGCTTCCAGACCACCATGAACTAAGGCACTTTGTTCTGCCATGCCCTTCTACCAAGGTATTTCTGCTTTAGAGTGCCTCAACCATGCACTGAATCCTCTGAAACCATGAACCAAATAAACATCTGCTCTTTCAAGCTGTGTCTCTCAGGTATTTTATCCAGCAACAAGAAAGTTGAATGACACCACTTATAGTATTTATATTATTAACAGTCTTGTACATTGAATAACTATTTTGAAGACAATGATACACAGGTATATTAACTATTGTTAGTCTCTTATTATTTTATTATGAAATTGTTTTATTTTTCATAAAATAAAAAATAATACCTGAGATTTTTACTCAGAAAACTTTAAAACTTTATTGAAGAGCATAAGAGTAGTCTTAAATAAGTGAA